GACTGCACCTAGCAGGTCGAGATGTTGGTTCACAGAAGAGTGATGCTTGCCTCTTAGCAGTTATTTATAGACCTCCGAACTCATCAGCAGACAGCGATAACATTCTGTTAAACGCCCTCCGCTATGCTGTTTCACAAAAGTACTCTCACTATCTTATAATGGGTGACTTTAATTTTCCTTCAATAGCACCAGTGTCCCCTAATGGGCCATCATTTAAATCGAAACTCCTCGAGTTCATGGATATGGCAGTTTTGTATAACCATGTGCATCGACCAACCAGACACCGCGGTTCAAACAAGCCATCACTCCTGGACTTAATCCTGACTAATGAAGAGTTGATGGTTGAGTCAGTAGCATACGATCCTCCATTGGGTCGTAGCGACCATTCAGTCCTAACATTTGGTTATGTATGTTATGCCAGTATTGTTGCTAAAGAAAGAGAGACTCAACGCACTATTACGGACTATTACAAGCTGCGCAGCTTAGCAGCAACCGTTGACTGGGACGTACAGACGCACAGCTCAGCGAATGACGCATGGAATGAATTGAAAGACAAAATTAACTGGGTCAGAAAATCAGCATCGAAGGTTGTACCATTACGAGCATCGTGCCGGACCACTACGTGGATCCGGAGCAGAACACGTAAATGGATCAACAGAAGAGATGAAATCTGGAGGCAGCATTTGCTAAGCCCATGTGATATCACATGGCAGGATTACAGTCATCAGAAACTACTGCACGTCACTCATTAGAGTCGATAAGTACGAATGGCAGGAGAATATGGTGCTGAAATTTACGAGTAACGCCAAAATGCTCTACAGATTTGTGAATGGCAAAAAAGGTTAGGCCCGGCATACCACCACTCAGGACGGTCAGTGGCCTAACAACTACTGCTGTGGATGCTGCGAATACTCTACTCTTGCAGTTTGGCTCGGTAGCTACAAATGTCATGGAACCTTCGCCCTATCAACTCCCAACCAATGTCGTTGGCTTATCCAGCGTTACCTTTACTCCAGCAGCTGTTGCAAGCAAACTACAGTCTCTCTGGGAGTACAGTGCCCCTGGAATCGACATGATCTGCCCAAAAGTACTAAAAACCCTTGCTCCCACCATAGCAGCACCATTTGCAACCTTTTGCCAGTGTCTGCTTAACTCCCATACACTCCCATCTGAGTGGAAAAATGGAATTATCACTCCAATATATAAGGGAGGTAAGCGCTCGGATCCTGCTAACTACCGACCTATTACTCTCCTTCCTGTTTTATCAAAAGTAATGGAATCGGTAACCGCAGATGAACTGACGAGATACTTTGAAAGTCATCAGATAATTTCTAATGCCCAACATGGGTTCCGACGCAGACGATCTTGTCTCACCAATTTGCTGATTACTCGGAACTCATGGACCAGGGCGGCTGATGAAGGAGTGCCCATAGATGTGATGTACCTGGATTTTTCCAAAGCATTCGACAGAGTCAATCACTTCTTTCTCCTCCAAAAGCTTACTGCCTACGGTATCAACGGTTCCCTGCTCACCTGGTTGCACCTGGTTACACGACAGAGCAATCAAGGTAAGAGTAGCCGACACCTATTCCGAAAGCCTTTACGTCCCCAGTGGTGTTCCACAAGGATCCGTCCTCGGCCCGCTACTATTTTTAGTCTACATTAATGACCTTCCAGCAGACATTCTATCTCCAATGCAAATATTTGCAGACGATGCTAAAATATGGAGAGCAATTCGCTCAGCATCCGACCGTGTCTACCTCCAGGAAGATCTGACCCGGATTAACGAATGGGTAGAAAAGAATCAGCTCCCACTGAACCCTGCAAAGTGCCATCTGCTGACGGTGCACAACAGCTTCGTTAACACATACCTTTTGGGGCAACACTTCATGCAACACGTGACTAGTGAACGCGCCCTAGGTATAATCGTGCAAGAGAGTCTTGGAAATTCGCTCCAATGTTCGAAAGCAGCAAGTGTAGCGAACTTGAACTTGAGACTTTTGAGGCGAGCTCTCGGCACTTTAGAGCGACAGCTAGTACCATTGTTGATTAACTCCTACATTCGTCCTCATGTTGAATATTCAATTCAGGCCTGGTGTCCATGGTTAAAACGAGACATCCGCCTCTTGGAACAGCCCCAAAGAAGAGCCACAAAAGCAACGCGTGGACTATCCGGTATAAGTTACGAAATGCGTCTTCGTGTACTCGGTGTGTTCTCATTAGAATACCGACGGCTTCGCGGAGATCTTACTCTCACATACCGGATATTAACCGAAAGAGAGCATCCATGTACATCACTATTGACTCTAGCCCCATACAAACAAAACCGAGGCAACCACCTGAAACTAATGACGCAACACTCTCGTTTGAATTGTAGAAAGTATTTTTTCTCACTTAGAATCTGTTCTTATTGGAATGCATTACCAAACTATGTGGTGAACGCACCAGACATGACGACATTCGAAAGACTCTTAGATTTTCATCTTAGTGATAAACGATACACAACACTTTGTTAAAGTGCAATGATTTAACCACTGATACCTTACGTTCCACGTTGGAACATTTTGATTTTAATTTTCTTTTGCATATCCATCCTGTGGGTCTTGTAAAGTTATGCTTTTTATCCCATCATACACCATTGAACCATTGAAACGTCTTCTGGCGGAAGCGAGAGGAACACCTGCCCAATACGCCTCACAAACGGAACACCGTGCAGCTACCTTGAGGACAGTTATTAAAAACCTATACACGGAGCAAGCTAGGACAGCATTTAGTTACTCCACGGTGAGAGAATGCTCAACTCTTTTCCTACACACATGGCGGCCCCGTAAACGCAAGCAATGGAGATCCACAGTCACCAACAGCCGTCAGTGACGGCGATTCAATAATGCTACATTCAACGCCTCTACCATCTGAGAAAGAAAGATGCCTCTGCGACAGCACTCAATTGTCAGTGGAAAGCCGCATTTATGCCGGATGAAAAGGTGATCACAGGCTTCAACGACTTCTGAAAAGATGGACTCTCGCAACCGCAAGGACCTGATAACCAGGCATCACACGATTGTGATCATGTTAACTCGTTATAGTAAAACCCATAACCATTGAGGAAACAATTTCTACGCAGCGAGCAATGGATGGATACGCTCCCGGGGTAGACTGTGTCACACCGAAGAACATCAGTTGAGAGAAGCCAAGATTCACTACGACCTTTTTTAATCGCTTATTAACCTGTTCGCCTTATCCCACTTACATGAATGCGGCCTGCGAAACGTTCGTTCCAAAAAGTCCTAACCCTTCCCGCTCGGATGACTTTCACACAAGTTCCGGAACTTTAGCCTTCAAGCGTCTTCCACATCGTTGTTTACTCTTCCTCTGTTTTCCGGGTTTCCCATCTGTTTTATTCAAACTTGGTTTTATTCGTAAAGGTGTCTGCTTTGAAGCCCCCAGGATAGTACACCCCGCCCTAACATATTCACACTTGAACGAGCTCCCTTTATTCATTGCTTCCTTTTATACTTGGAAAACTTTTGATTCCATCTCCGATGCGTCGATGTATTTGCAGCGTTCT